GGGGAGCTTAAAAAATCCCGATGCTCAGACTGCAGCCCAAACCAACTACATTAGACCCTCTAGGGGTGGGGCTCTGGAATCCGAATAGTTTTAAATCCTAATTTTAAAATGAATTTTAATCATGATTATTTAAACTTTAATATTTATTTATTTATTTATACTTTTGTGGGTACCTAGCAGGTGTATATATTTGTGGGGTACATGAGATATTTTGATACAGGCATGCCATGTGTAATAATCACATCAGGGTAAACGGGGTATCCATTACTTCAGACATTCATCTTATGTGTTACAAACAATCCAATTATACTGTTTTAGTTATTTTAAAATGTACAATTAAACTATTATTGATTATAGTTACCCCGTTGTGCTATCAAATACCAGGTCTTTTTTTTTTCCCTTGATGGAAATTCAGGATGGAGTGCAGCTCCCTGCAGCCTCTGTCTCCCAGCTAAGGTGATCTTCCTGCCTCGGCCTCCCAGGTAGCTGGGGTTACAGGTTCGTGCCACCACACCTGGCTAATTGTATTTTTAGTAGAGACGGGATTTTGCCATGTTGCCCAGGCTTGTCTCAGACTCCTGGGCTCAAGTGATCCACCCTCCTCGGCCTTCCAAAGTGCTGGGATTGCAGGTGTGAGCCACCATGCCCAGACCAAATGCCAGTTCTTAAATCTTAATTTTTAATGAGGAATTCCCAGGTGACTCAGAATCAAGTGGTTCATAGATTACACTGGGAGAATTGCTGGTCTTGTTCAGCTGGTCTTCAGAAACAGTGCTGCTTCTCATCCTTAGCTGCACGTTAGAGGCACCTGCGAATTTGATAAAGGAAACTTGCAGGGCGTCAGCTTGGGTAGGGCAGGGCAGTGGTGATCTTTGCTGCTCTGACCTATCCTCCCTCTTCCCAGACCATTGACTCAGAATCTCCTGGCGGGGGGACTTGGGCATCATAGGGTTTAAAGACTGCTCAGATAATTTAAGTGTGCAGCTGGAGCTGAGAACCGTGAAGCCTTTGTTACTAAAACTGTGGCCTGTGGATCAACAATATCAACATTACCTGGGAGCTTGATAGAAATGCAGAATCTCGGGTCCCTCCCTGGATCACTGAATCCGAATCTGGGTTTTAATCTATTCCTTGGGTTATTCAGATATGCATGAAATTTTGAGAAGCTCCACACTAGTCCATCCCTCTCATTTAGCAGAGGAAACTGAGGGCCAGAAAGAAGTGACTTACGGGAGTTAGTAAGTACCAGACGGGCTTCAGTGCCCTGCCTCTCTGCTTTTTCACAGGACTCTTATTTTCTTGCTGACACAATTGCATCTTTCATGAGTACAGATCAAACTGGATGCCTTTGTGATCACAGTCTTGCAGGAAAAGCTTAGAGACTTAAAGGAAGAACTGCAGGCTGCTTTTCCCTTCTCCCTGCCTCGGGCAAAAGGGAGAGCCGGATGCACCATCCCACAGTCTGCTGGGTGGCATAAAAGGCAGTCAGCCAAGGGCTCTGCCCACAGTCTCTGCCTCTAGACTCAGCTAGTTGGGTGACTCATGGACCTCAGACTGCTGTGAGGCATCAGCTGCTGAGTTTTGCTTCTGGTCCAGGAGTGTCCACAGCTCTCATCCTAGGCTGCCCTAGAGTGGGCCTGGGATTGCGGAAGCCAGAAGGCAGATCCCGACCTTTCATTCAGCAGCCCAGCAGATCTGAATGGGTTTGGGAAGTGGGGGCAGGGATGGTCTGTACTGATAGGACCCCGAGCCAGCTTTTGGAGAGAACGTGGGTCTCTTTCTCATCTTGGCATGCTTGTCCTGTAAAGCGGGGTGACCCCCAGGGTGGAGCAGCAGGGCTTGTGGCATGGACTAGATGGGCAGGATTTTCATAGGATTTTCTCTCTGAGTTCTCCCCAGGTCTGTGTAGGGGGAAATCCTAAGCTTCTAACTATTCTTGGACAAAACTTTTGTCCTAGAGAGGCAGGGAGGTCCCTAAACTGTGTGATCAGCAGTTCTGGTCCTGCTGCATGTGTGGGGAAGAAGGTACTGTAAAGAATGTGAAAAATAGGGCTACAATGTTGACACTTTGACACCTGCTGAGTTTGGAATGTGACCTTCCCGGATGTCTGGTGTTACACAGTGAAAAGCACAGACTGGGGTCAGAGCTGTAACCTTGGACAAGTTCTCTTATCAGTCACTACGTATTTATTGAGCACTTAACATTCACTAAATATTTATTGAGTATGTATTAGGCTCTAGAGATACAGGAGTAAACTCATGGCATTTATTTTTATTAGATGGTGTAGAAAATAAAAAAGCAAGCAAATACAGTTGACCCTTGCACAACACGGGATTAGGGGTGCCCATCCCCTGCACAGTCAAAAATCTGGATATAACCTTTGGCTTTCTACAAACTTAACTACTAGTAGCCTACTGTTGACTGGGAGCCTTCTGATAACACAAACAGTTTATTAACACACATTTTGCATGTTATGTATATTATATGCTGTATTCTTATAATAAAGTAAGCTAGAGAAAAAATGTTAAGGAAATCATAAGGAGAAGAAAATATATTGACTACTTATTAACTGGAAGTGGATCATCAAAAAGGTCTTCATCCTCGTCATCTTCATATTGGGTAGGCTGAGGAAGAGGAGGAAGAGGACAGGTTGATCTTGCTGTCCCAGGGGTGGCAGAGGCAGAAGAAAATTCACATATACACGGACCCACACAGTTCAGACCCATGTTGTTCCAGGGCCAACTGTAAATATACCTCGCTCAGGAGATAACAAATACTAGAAGAATAAGGGGAGGATGTTAGGCGGTTTGGGTGTGCTGGGGAGAGGTGAATGATCCTGGGCACAGGGGGAGGCTGTTGAATAAGGTGAGACCCGTGGGTGTTAAGGGTGTCATGGCAGCCTGCAGGGGAAAGTGTGGCAGCTGAGGAGACGGACACAAAGGGCCTGAGGCAATTTCAAGAAGCAGGTGTACTGAGTGAGGAGGAGAGGAGATGGGCCCAGGGGTAGCAGGGTCAGGCCATGGAGGGCCTAGCGGGCATTGTAAGGACTTCTTGGATTTTACTTGCAGAGAGATGGGAAGATTGTGGGAGCTCTTGATCACAGCTGTGATGTAATCTGACTTTAACAGGAAGTTAGGGCAGGAGCAGGGGCAGGGAGGCCGGTGAAGGGGCCAGAGATGGTGGCAGCTGGAACCACAGAGCAGTTCGTGGTCTGTGTGGTCTTAGGCCCACAGAGCAGTCCTCACCTGTAAAATGGGGATGACAGTAGTACTTTTCTGACAGAATTGTTATGAAGGTTAAATGAAAGAGTGCATTTCCTGGCACATAGAAAGTACTTAATACATATTAGCTATTCCTGTTATGGATACGGGCAGGACAGCTTCTCAGGTGTCCAAACACACAGGGCTGTGGTGTTGTGGGTGACCTCTGAGCTAGAAATGCCCCTTCCTGGTCTCACTGAAGCAGTCTCATGCAGTCCCATCCAAACATGGAGAGCCCCTATGAATTTAGTCCTGAGCTCTCTCACAACCAGCAAGATGGGACGTGTCAAAATCACTAGAAAAGTTGTCCTGATCTTCTGCAGAAAACATCTAGGATATCATGGGAGTTTCCTGTTTCCAAGGGAGGACAAGCAGCCATTCTTATTCCCATTTTATAGATGAGGAAACTGAGGCCTAGATGGTTAAGCTGTAAGTTCAAGGTCACGCAGCCCGTTAGTTGATGGCCATGTCTGGACTGGCCCCGCAGTCTCCTGACTCCCAGGCCAGTGCTCTTTCTGCTCTGCGTGCAGCCTCTTTGGTCTTACCTGTGTGCCAGTGTCATCTCCCCCATCCACATGGCCCCACCATTGTCACCCCCCGCCCCACCTGCGACTGTGCGCACTCCAGGGAGGCTAACCACAGCCTGGCTCTGTCCCCCTCTCCCTCCAGATCGAGCGGCAGCTCTTTGAAGAGACTGTGAAGACCCTCAACGGCTTTTATGCAGAGGCTGAGAAGATTGGGGGCAGCTCCTATCTTGAGGGCTGCCTGGCCTGCGCCACGGCCTACTTCATCTTCCTCTGCATGGAGACCCACTACGAGAAGGTGGCCCCTCCTGCCCCACCGTGCGTCCCCTCCCTCAGGGCTGCCCTGCGGCACGCTCATCCTTATCTGGCTCCTCTTTTTGCAGGTTCTCAAGAAGATTTCCCGCTACATCCAGGAGCAGAATGAGAAGATCTTTGCGCCTCGAGGCCTCCTACTCACAGACCCCGTGGAGCGTGGGATGAGGGTTGTATCCTTCCGGGCTGTTCTGTGTGAGGGCACAGGACTGCCAACCGGTAGAGATCCCGGTGAGGCTGCCAGGAAATGGGGCCACCTTAGGGGCCTCCACTCAGGTTTTCCCAGGATTCCCCACATCAGTGGTCCTCAGCCCTCCTCCGCCACCATAAGTTATTGGAGGCTTTGTGAGTTTCAGGGTTTGCACTTGTTGGGCTGCATGTAATCAGTGCTTAGAATATGCCAGCTATCATGTGAAGTGCTTTGAAAATATGAATTCATGTACTTCTCATAACAATCTTACCAGGTGGGTTGCTCTGATTATTCCCAGCAACCTGCTCAGAGTCGTGCAGCTGGTGAATGTGGGAGCCAGGAATTGCGCCCAGGCTCACCCTTAACTGCAAAGACCCCTCCAGGAATATGCAAATCACCACATTCATTTACAGGTCCTCGGTCTCATGCAGTCCTCATGGAACTTCCTGTGGCACGTCCCATTGTCCTCCTTTCGCAGATGAGAGACGTGAGGTCTAGGATGAGGTGACTCCCCCAAGTTCTCAGTCCTGGTGAGAGGCTGGACAGGGGGTGGGGCGTGGTTCTGCTGACTCCACCTCCACTTGGAATAGTGTGTTCTGGGTGTGCACACATCCCTCCCCCCAGGCAGCAACAACACGAGTAGAATTGCTAAAAAATAAAGTTTACTGGAAAACTGAGGAGAAACAGAGTCAAAAAACCACAAACACCCAGAATCACGTGTTGACAAAGCCCAGTGAGAGGCACTTGTTTTTATTGAGCCTTTGCTGTGTGCCAGGTTTTGTGCTAAGTGCCTTACATACATTGCATCTAATCTCCACACTAACCCCTAGATTCTATTTTAATCCCCATTTTGCAGATGCGATAATGGATGACTAACAAGTTAAGTGACTGGTGTAAGGTCACATAGCTTTGTGAGTGCCTGAGTCAGGATTTAAACTCGGGACACTAAAGTCCTCATACTTCCTGTGCAGTAACACCACCTTCCTGGGCACATCTGTGTCCTAAGATATGGTCATTAGACCCACTGGAATGTAAGCTCCATCAGGGCAGCCACCCTGTCTGCTGTGATCACGGCTGTGTGCCCAGCATAGGGCTTGGCCTCATGCAGTTAGGGCAAGTCTCCCTAACTGTTAGCTAAGTAATGTGCATGGATGGGCTTGGGGAGGGTCTAGCTCCCAGGCCTCTACATCCCTACTGTCTAGGCAGCAGCACAAGCCCACTTTCCCACTCCTCTGCCGGACTCCATCCACTGGTTCCTGTCCGACCCCTGCTCAGCAGCTGGGCTCGCAGTTCTCCTTAACCGCCGACCCCAGATTGAGATCTCCATCTATGAGGACCGGTGCAGCAGTGGCAGCTCCAGCAGCGGCAGCAGCAGTGGCAGTGGCAGCAGCAGCGGTGGGGGTGGTGGGGCGGGGGCCCGGTGACTGGCCGAGAGTCCCTGTAGGGAGGTGTATGGCCGGAGTGAGGGCCTCGCAGACCTGCGGCGGCTGCGCTACCAGAGCACCCGCTTCTGAGTCATTCTCTGGGCCCACCCTGCTGCCCGGGGTGGGAGGGAGGGTGACAGGCCTCATATTTCCTGTGGGCCATCAACCTATGACCCCTATCCCTCACCCCCAGCTGGATCAGTCCATTTTCTGACCTGGGGGCTTTCCCTTCCTGATGGGGCTGGTCTGGGCCACACAGAGACAGATCTTCCTAGGAAGGCTGGGGTGGGGAGAACACAACCTAGGCGGCCCCTCTCTTCCACAGCCCCTCTCCCAACCCCACAAGAGGGGCCCAGGTCTGCCACATAGAGGACTCCCACACTGCATGACCCCTCATCCCCAAACCCATGTCCACCAGGACTCTCTCTCTTGGGCCCTGTGTCCTGTGGCTGTCTCCCAGTATCTGCTCCTTCTCATGCCCCTGCAGGGCCCCGGCCTGTCTATGATCCTGCCTCGACCAAATTGAAGGTGTGGGGAGACGAGTGCCGTGGTTGGGAGCTGTTCAGCCCACTCCTGACCTCTTCTAGACCTATGGCTTTCCTGTCCTGCAGCCAGAGCTGGAGGCCAGCACGGCCTTGCCAGAAGCATCCAACTTTGAGACTTTGCAGGCTGCCAGGTGCTGGTTGAGGGGCACACGTCCTGGGGCTCTGGGAGGTAATATGGGAGTCTGGAGAAACTTTGCGGAGAGACATAGCCATACGGGGCCCGAACCTCCTGCACTGGAGCCAGTTTCCTGAGATTAGAACCTGTATGTATGCACATGTGAATGTATGTGTGAGTGCACATGTGTGTAAGTGCAGTGTGCATAAATGTGTGAGTATGCGTGTGTTAGCATGCCTGTGTGTGAGCACCTGTGTGTGCACCAGTGCACAAATGGATGAATGTGGGTGCATTTGTAAGCACACCTGTGTGTGTATGAGTACATGGGCACACATGCGTGCACAAGTGTGCCTTTATATGAGTGTGAGTGCATACATGTGCATGAGCACATGTGCAAAAGCATGTATGTATGATTGTTCATGTGTATGAGTGTGTGTGTGTATGCAGGTGAGTGCATGTGTGTGTGAGTGTGTTTGTGTGTTTCCTTTGGCTGCTAGGTCAATGACTACTTCTCTGCATCCTGCTGTCTTCACTACCTGAGGGTCCGTGACTTCTTCCCTGCGTGGGTCCAGCCTGGCCCCCTGTAAATAAATGTCCAAAAGCCCCTTGCCCCTCCCCTAGGGCTACCAGGGAACGTACTCTAATGCATACATTCTAGTGGAAGAGAAGCTGGGGTTCTAGGAGAGAAGAGCCAAACCTTGGTGGCCTTTGGTGCCCCCTCTCAGCTCCCCATGACAAGACAATGGGGCTACAGACACTGTGTGTTCAGTCTGCCCAGGGGCTGGGGCTCTTTAAGGCTTGGTAGGTGAGGTTTCCGTGGACCTTCAAAGGTGCCAGCAGCCTGCAGGGGAAAGGCAAACTCCCTCCTTGCAAGGAAAGGAGATGTCCAGCCAGTGATGCCTGGCTTCCGAGGCCCAGAGGAGCAGGTGGGATGGGAGCAGCCCCTGGGGCTGGTATCCCGAAGATGAAATGAAGGGGGCTGCCTACCTCAGTTGGCGGGAGGTGCTAAAAGTGGATGTGCAAGACCAGCCACTGCAGGTAGCTCTCTGGAACCAAAGAGAGGCCTGCTTTTCTACCAGACATGGGAGCAGCATGTGGGAAACAAAGGCCTACCCAGACAGCAGAGAGAGTCCGCCTAGTCCATGCAGCCTCAGGAAGTCCTGGGCCCATGTGAGTCCTGGTCCAAGGATCCCCTTGGAGAGCTGCAGTTCAGTGGGCTCCACTGCAGCCCCTGGCCACAGCCTATGCCCACCCTGGGCCCCTGTGGGGCTGGGCATTGTGTCCAACCTGTGCATCTCCCATGGGAGGGCTGGGCACAGGCAGTGCCATGTCCTTTTATTTTTTCTTTTTCCAATAAAAGAACTTGCCCAGCATGAGGCTCTGTGATGCTTTCTCTGCCCCATGACAATGGAGGGTCTGTTCTATGCCCCAGGACCACATGAGGGGATACTTGGCTGCCTGAACCGGACCCAACATGGGGAGCAGGATGAACCCTGTCTTTTTGGAGCTTATAGTCTACTGGGGAGGCAGACACTTCAGCGCCTCTAATCTGGAATCTTTGGGGCACCTGTAGCCTTGGGTGGGGGAACAGGTTGGACTGAAAGCCAGGCCAAAAGTAATCAATGATATCAATAAATGCTCATTTCTTGAGCTCTTCCCCTGGGTTGGGTCCTGCTGGGAGCTGGATCACACAGGTCACTCAGTACTGAAGATGAGAAAGTAGCTAGATGATCACTTCTCGGCCTTTTGGCTAAGATCAGGTGTGGAGAAAGTAGCTGGATGTTGGAACCTAGCGGAGTTGTGTCTTGAATTTTATAATTTATTGAGCACCTACTATGTGCCAGATACTTTGCTATAACCATACGTTAGAGCTGGGAGGGGATTTAAAGATCACTTGAATCCTGTCACAGAGGTCCAGAGAGGGTGGGTGACTTGCCCCAGGCCACACAGCTGGTTGCTGATGACAGGGTCCAAGCTTGGAACCCAGGTCTCCTGACTCAGTGCCCACTCTGATACCACAGGGATGGCACCCAGATGGGAAGCTGCCCGAGGCTGCAGGGAGACTGGGGTCACACACTCAGGTCTGTTCCTGGAGAGGAGCTCATCAGACTGTGGGGACAATGGCTCCAGCCTCTTGGGTGGGAGCTGGGCAGTCCCCTCTGGGTGGGTCTCATGTTTGTTCTTACTCCCCTTAGGGCAGCTTGGTGCTTGCCTGAGCTGTGTGCAGCCTAGACTCACTCCCTCTGCTGGTACCTGGGCCGTGTGTGGGTTACCACAAGTGAGGGTGTTCTCTCACATGAGGGCGGGTTCATTCTGTTTTGGGCTAGGAAGTTTGCTCTACCCCGAGGCCAGATTTGAACCCAAGCTCAGCTCTTCGAGAGAGGAGGTCCTGGGAAGGGGTGAGGATTTACTAAACGGGTAAAACCAAATCCAGGTGCTTATCTGACTGACAGGCATTCGACCCTTCCATTTTCAAATGGTAATCATCATAATAATAGTAGCTGATGTTTATTTAGCACTTCCTGTGTGCCTGGCACTAGGCTAAGACTCTCTCTCTATATAATTAGTCATTCCATCCTCACAGCAACCCTCCATGGCATGGATTCTTATTTCCCAGTTTACATATGGGGAAACTGAGGCTCATGGAAGTTAAGTAACTGGGAAGTTGCAGATCTTGGCTTCGAATCTAGGCAATCTGACTCCAAACTGCAGGGCAGAAGACAGACCCAGCCTCAGAGACCCTTTAGCAGCTTGAGGGCCTCAGCCATCCTGGGATTAGGATCAGGCAGATTCCCAGGGAAGGACTTGGAGCTATGCCTGGGCTTTGAGGCAGGGCTGGCACCTCCACTTCCAGGGCATCACAGGCGTGTGCATGGGCTGTGCTCGCAGGCATGCGGGACCCAGAGGCAGCCCGGTGAAGGGTAGTGGGGGACCCGACTCACTGTGGGCCTGGGGAGGTGTGGTCTCTCTCTGCCGGCTTAGTTACAGGCAGTGGCCTTTCTGCGGTCTGGCTGTAGCCGTGTCCCTGCACCCACCTTGCCAGGGACAGGCCCTGTCAAGACCCAGGAGCAGCTCCAGCCTCAGGCAAACTGTCCCCCAGGTCCCAAGTGAGGCCCCAGCCAACCAGGCATGCCCCAGGAAGCTCCTGCTGCACACGCTCCTCTCCCTGCGCCAGCACCCTGCTGTCTGGCTTCCTTCCTTTGGCCGCAGGCGGGCTGTGTGTGAAACCACAGGGTTTACAGAAGCTCGAGGTGCCACTGAGTGGCAGAATTGTGCACTGCACTCGGGGAACCAAAGGTGGAGGCAGAAAGAACTATGGCTGTTGTGACACGTCCCCCACGGCTGCCCAGCTGGCAGCCACTGCCACTCGCAGAGACTTTTCTGTGGCTTCCAGAGGTGCAGGGCAAAGGTGGAGTCCGGCAACTTTCTCCCTAGGGCCAGCCCCTGGGCTGTCTTCACGGCACCAGTAGCCTGGGAAACTCCACACCCCTCTCCACACCTCTAGAAGGACTCACAATGACGGGGGACCAGGCAGGAGGCATCACCACCGGGTTTGGGCTTTACTATTCACCCAGATATAAGGCAAGGCAAACACCACTCCACATCAGATCTGAATTTGAGCTCTGGCTTCATGACATTAACACATGAAGACTCTTGGAGCCTCAGTTTCCCCAGTTGTAAAATAGGGAGACTAATATCTCCAGAGTTGTTTAGACTCGAGGTGTTCAACCTTGGTGGCAATGGGTGTCACCCGGGAGCATGAAAAATGACCAATGCCTGATCCTATCCTCAGAGATTCTGATTTAATTATTTTGGGGGACAGCTTGGGTGTCAGGATTCTAAAGAGTTTCCCTGGTGATTCTAACGTGAAGGTAAGGCTGACAGTCCCTGGTTTTGACAGTACCTATAGCCTATAAGCCTTTAATACACCTCTGAAAATGCCTGAGACCTGGATAAGAAGTTTATGGTTCCACAGAAGCAGTCAGACACAAAAATGAGTATGTACCGTGTGACTGCCCTTACAGGAAACTCAAAGACAGGCCAAACTAGCCTTTGATTGGGAGTCAGGATCAAGATTACCCTGGGTGGGGGGTAGCAAATGGATGGGGACCTGGGGGGCATCTGGGAGCTCAGGATGTTCTGTTTCTTGACCAGAGTGCCAGTTACACAGGGGTGCTCACTTCATGAGAATTCACTGAGCTGTACACTTAGGAGCTGCGTTATTTGTCTGTACCAGTGATATATTTCAATAAAATTCACCCAAAAAAGCCTATTGGCTACAAAATAGGAAAAGAAAGGACAGACTTGAAATTAATATTTTGTTAAATATCTGGAAATGTAACACATATGCCAAACAGACAACTGCAACTCTATGTTACGTGTGTGTGTGTGTGTGTGTGTGTGTGTGTGAGAAAATGTAAGATCCCACTGCTCTGTGGAGGGTGGGGCCTCCAAAAGGGAAGGTCCCTGATGCCTAAGAAAATCTGAAAACAGCCCAGGTTCACACCAGGAGTTCTTAACCTCGACCCGACTGCATTCATGTGCCGTTATCTGAAGAGAGAATCTACAGCTTTCAGCAGATTTTCAAAAGGGTATGCAGCCCCCTAAAAAGGTTAAGAACAATTGGTTTTGAGGAGTCAGTGAGAAACTGGCCGTGAATGTGCTTGGCATGAAAGAGGTGCTTGGTAATGTCGATTTCTTTCTTTCCTTTCAGAGCCCAGCCTTTGGGGGTTTCCGCATGACCCTTCTCGGGAGACTTCTAGGAGGATTTATTCTCCTGGCAGTGCCGAGGGCAGCCTGCACCAAGCTCACAGTTCTTCCTCCAAGAGGATATTCAAAGGGCCTGTCATTTCAGCATCTGCCGGACAGCAGAACTTTGTGTGCAAGATCCTGGAGCTGCGTTGGGTCTTGAATCAGGGACAATGGAAATAAGTGGGAAGGTGTGAAGGGAGTCAGAGGGCTGTGCCAGCCGTCCCCCTTCCCACCTCCAGCAATTCACTTAACTTTCCTGAGTCTCAGCTTTGTCATTATGAGAATACATATATTTATAAATAATCATCTGTTTCTCCAATGTAAGATATTATTGTTATTGCAGAAGTGATACTAGGGTCTCATTATACGATGGCCTCATGATATAGATTTATAGCAGGCTTCAGATTCTGGCATAGACTAAACAGATACTTATCCAAGGGTTCACTAACTCCCTAATAAATGCCAGGAACATTCATGTACATTATTATTCCATTTAATTCTCGAACACTGGGGTGTTGAAATCTTATTTTACAGATGAGGAAACTGACGTTCTAGGTGGTTAGGTAGCTTGACAAGGGCTAGTAAGTGTCAGAGCAAAGACTTGAACCTAAGTCTCTGACTCCAAATCCCACTCTCACTCTGCCACAAGAGTGAGATGTGGGAGATGAGAGACTCTGTTCTACCTGGATTGACTCATAAAGATAGAAGACAGATTCCAGACCAGAGAGAAACTCGTGGGCAAATGCATCCCTAGAAAAATTAGCTTTGCAGGGGCATGAAGGTACTAGTTATTTTAGAGTAATTCAAGTTATTGATTTCTGTAATGGAAAAGTGATTGGGAACAAGCTACCACGTGAGAACAGTGCTGAGTGAGTCCCCAAGATGGGGGAAATGTTACACACAAGCTTACACACAGCTTACAAGACCTCAGAGATGGCGAGGGTCCTTTTCCCTGCTGCCTGCAATTAATCAGTACGCTCCTCAAGGGCAGGGAGCCTGTCTTACTCACTCCCCCACCCTCAATCTCACCTCTCCCTGTCCTAAGTGCTTGTCACAGGGCCTGGCCCTGGCCAGGTGAATGGAAGATTCTGCCCATCTCAGGCTGGCAGGAAGAGGCGAGCATATACAGATGTGTCATCTGCAGACCCGTGGGGCAATGTGCCACTGAGAAGCAGCTCAGAACCATGCAGACAGGCAGTGGTCACTGAAGGATACAATTCACCTGCAAGTGGTCACCTTACAACTCAGTTAAAGGGTGGATGAGTGACCCCAGGCCACCCCCTGAGCTGGGCAGCAACTCTCAGTGATGTTGCCCTGGCTGTGACATTGTGACTCTGCTCATGACCTCTACCTATCCTGGGAGAGGAGGGGAGGAAGCGTGTGTCCCACCCCAGTCAGCCCTGCCTGACACTCCCCAAACACCATTTCGAGGTGGGGAAATCCTTCTGGTGCTGAATGCTTTACCTGAGAGATCTGGGCCTCAGGCCCTAGAGAGTGAATTACTGTGAGTGAATCGCTGGCTGGATGGCTGGCTGGCTGGCTAAGTGGATGGATACAGAGAAGATGGGTGTAGAGAGATGACGGATAGATGAGAGATGAGCGAGAGGCCTCCCTGGCTTGAGATGGATGCTCGCAGACCCTGGAGAGGCAGGTGAGTGGATGGGTACCGATCGCCCCTGGGCTCCCCAGTGCAGACCTAATATAGGGCTGGAGCTCTTCAAAGGGAAGATGCTGTGTTATCCCAGTCCCCACATGAACTCCACATTTGTAACTCTGAGTGATGGATGTGTCTTGTTGGGAAGAATCCTTATAGGTCTAATATTGCCCCAGCTAATGGCTTATGGATTGTTGTAAAGTCAGGCATTGCTGGAAGTGAAGCCAGGAGGTTAAAGGTCCTGGTACAGATTTTATGACAGTATCTGCATTTCATCAGTCAGGCACTGCAGCAAGTACCTTATAGGCTCGATGAAGCCTCACAACAACTCTATGAGGATTTTATCACTGCCTCCATTTGATAAAACTCCAATGAAAAAACTGAGGCTCAGAGATGGAAAACCTTCTTAAGGCCACTTCCGAATGCCTGGGTGGAGGGTCTGGCCTTCAAGCCCATTTGATCCTAGAGTTTCAGTGTGAAGGGAAAATTTTAAGGACAGGTGAAAGGGAGAGGGGAGGGCCATAGGATTTGTGCACCGCTCTAAGAAAAAACATGGCATTTTGGCACATGCGAGACACCTTCTGCAGTGGGAAGAGGCGCTGAGACTTTCCAATGACCGGGTGCCCCGAGGGCAGCCCCAGGCTTCCTTCTCCCTCTCTTTCCTCTGTGTCAGCCTTCGAGGGCTCTCAACCTTGAGTCTGGGGACCTGAACTGCAGAGAGGGTGTATGTCTGGCTCACTTTCCTTCCTTTGGCCTAAACTTGTCCTTCTGCCATGGCACCCACAAGCAGTTGGGGAACGAGGATGTGCTTTTCTCCTATTCCAGGGGCTCCACAGCCAGGTCTGGGGTGGAGGGAGGGAAGTTAATCCTTAGATTTGTGGGGAGGGTGCTTTAATGACTCTAGGGGATGAGATCCTTCCTGGCTGCTCTGGGGCTGGCCATGAAGAACGAGAACCAGCTACCAGCTACCTTTAGCGGAATTATTCTGGCCCCAGACTGCTTTCCTGCTGGCAGACAGGCAGAGGGCATGAGGTTCTGGGCGGGACATTCTGGGAACGGGTGATACAGATTCTCCATCTGCCGCACCCTTCTCCTGACCCTGCCTTCCTCCTCACAGCTGAGCAGGCTCGTCTCTGCATTCGGGACCTCCATTCAGGTCTGTATTTAATCCCAGCTGAGTTCTAAGGTCTAAGTGTGGTTCTTCTGTTACTTGATGGGCACGTATCCTGACTCAGTTTCCATGTCAGCAGAGCAGGAAGGACAAGCCCTGCCTCTCTTATTCTTGAACTTGTTCATATACTTGGGCTTCTGGAACACTTGGAGCTCTCTGGAGAAGGGTGCTGGGAGCAGCCTGGTGCTGAGCTCTTTTGAGGAGCAGCCGGCAGCCCAGGCAGGGAAAGGGACCAGACATCATCCAAAGCTGATGCCTTGGGAAAGTCACAGCTTCTTTTTGGGCCTTGGTTTCCACGTCTGAAAAGGAGAGGATGGGACTAGATGACTTCTCAGCTGTTCCTGGATTTAAAGCTCTAGGATTCTGTGATTGATGAGGGCCAAATTCCCAGGCCAGCTCACTAGCTCCCGGTGACCTCCGCTCTGTGTGGCCCAGTTCATGCCATGCCTGCCCAGCTCAGTTCACCTTGTTTTATGACTATTCTCTCTGGGAATGGCACCGCATCAGAATTCAGCTGAACACAGCACAGCCCAGGCCCCTGGAAGGCTGGCTCTGTCCCTTATGGTCATTTGCTATCTTTTTCTGGTGAATCTGTCAGTTCTCCGGAGGTGGTCCCATCCTCCCCATCTCTCCCATCGCAGGTGTCCTGGGTGGCAGCAGGGTGCACAGGAGCTTTGGCACTGAATGGGCCCGGGGCTCCATCCTGAACATGGCCACTTAATAATAATTATATTTCTAATTTGTTGGGGGCTTTCTATGTGCCACGAACCATGTCAAGTCTAATATAATAACTTTATGAGGTATTATCCCCATCTTGCAGATGGGAAAACTGAGGTTCAATGACACTTTACCTACTTTAAGTCTTTGCTCAATGCCTCTTTCTCAGGGAGCCCCGCCCTCACCCCGCTATTAAAAATGGCATTCCGCCTCCATCCTGGCCCTCCCAGATGGCCTTGATGTTACTCTTCTCCAGCCCTCCATAGCACGTATCATGCTCCAACACGCTACAGACTTTCCTTATTCTGGGTATTATTTAGTGCCTGCCACATCTTGCTAGGGCAGGGACCTTTGTCAGTGTTGTTCACAGATATATATCCCAAGCCACTAGAACAACACCCAGCACACAGTAAGTGTTCAGTCGCTGTACATCACATGAACAACTGGTTAAATAACTTCCTCAGTGTCAGTTACCTAGAGATTGCACAGCGTAAGGCTTAAGAACTCAGGCTTTGGAGCTAGTCAAGAGTTTGAATTACAGCTCTTGCCACTTTAGCTAGCTATATGACTTTGCATAATTTACTGTTTCTGAGCCAGTTTCTTGGGTAATAAAATAGACTAATAACATTTATATTCTGGGATGGGTGTGAGGATTCATGGAGACACGGATGTAAAGTTCTTGGCATATGGCAGGCATTGCATAAATGTTAGCTGCTTTCCTGGAGGATGTTTTTCTTCTCTCTTGTGTCTCATTTTCCCTCTGGTGGCCTATTTTTTGACCACTTCACTGTCAATAGTAGTTCCTTAGAGGACAAGTCACCGTGGGAGGGTTGGCATCATCTGTGGCGTTAACCAGCCCATGTTCTTTTCCTTCCTTCCAGTATGTGCCTGTTGCTACGGAGACACAACAGCAACCCCTGGCAGGTTCCTGGCCCCTGCGGCTGGGATTCTGGCCTCAGAGAAGGCTGGCCCTGGGGACAGGGAGGCAGGGAGGGGCTCGGTTTGCCTTCTGGGCTGGAAGTCTGGGTGGAGGTATCAGCCTGGAATCTGTTGGAAGAACTTTGCTGGCTCCCTGCAAAAATGAAGCGCTCATCTTCCTGTCTCCATGGGGCTCTTGGAGTCTGGAGCGGAGTTCCTGCTTGGGCTGAGGTCCAGTGGCACTGGTCTGGGTGTGATGCCCAGACCCTGGGAGGGGGCCATAGCAGCCAGAGTGACACATAATCAAACTCCTGGCCCTCAGAATGGCACCTTCCCAGAGTAGGGTTGGCAACCATGTAGATGCTTGAAGAGGCCTGGTGGATGGTTTACCATTCTGCCTCAGCGAAGGCTGGCCAAGCCCGCCTGGTTGAGGGTACTCTCGACATGAGCGAGCACTGCCACCTCTTCTTGTAGACTTGAACGTGACCGTGGGGAGGACTGTTTCAGATCACTGGGCCTCCAGGGGCTCCATTTTCCCCTTCCTAATCCTGCTCTTGATCCTGGGCAGCATGAGTGACTGTGGCTTTTGCTTAAACCAATTCACCATCCCAAATGAAGAAGGGAGTGGTAGTTGAGAGTGCCAGCAGACAGCCAGACTCCTGGGATCCAATCCTGCCTTCGTCTGTCCGGGCTGTGTGACTCTGCACAAACCATTTAGCTTATCTGTAAACCTGGGATAATTACAGCACCTTCCTCTTGAGATTATTGTGCGGGTTAGATGAGTTGATTATTGTAAAGACTTTAGATTCAACCCAGACATGTCGAGCCCACTAAATGTAAGCTATTATTGTCATTTTAAGGCGTACGTGCCTGTGAAGAGGGAGTTCCTGAGCAGAATAAAAATGGTATTATTCTTATTTGGTTTCTCTTGAAAAATGGGGAGTTGTGGCAGCACTGGCCCACCTTCCTGCTGGAGTGAGTTGCGGCTGCCTGGTGCAGGCAGGTGGGGCACCAGCTCCTCCATTTGCATAATCCCTTCCGGGTCCATTTCATTACTTGACTGCCCCTAAAGGCATCTGCTATTTTTGTTACAAATTAAAGTGTAGCATAAGCCAACAAAGATGTCAGGAGCCCGGGTGGGGCTAAGGGACAAGAAAATGACAGACTTATCTGCACAGGAGGGGACGGAACGGTTTGGGCTCCCACGGGTCTCAGAGAAAGGGATTAGAAGAAAGAGGGGAACGGGAATGCTGAGCCTGGGTAGCTTGGGGGTGGCTTTGCACCCACAAATCTGTGCCTGGTATAGCACAGACCAGTAGATGCATTGAATTTGAGGCACCTGCTCAAAAAGCCTGTACTGCTAGCTCAATGAGGAGGCTCTGTTTTTTTTTTTGGCGGTGGGAAGTAGGTAACGTTGAGTGGGTTCACTATCCACCTGTCCTCTGTATCTTTCAGCCTTGTATCTCTTGCAACACAAGCATCTTGGGGGCAGGGGATTTGTCCACCTCATTAGAGGGTCCCTATCACATTCCTCATGGGAGGAACCTAGTGCTTGTCATACAGGATATTCTCAATAAATGCTTGCTGAATGAATATGTAAATGAATGAATGCAGAGAGCTTGCTTTCCGTTATAGCAACCTGAGAATTCAGTTCGACTTTTTAGAAGGCCCTTTGGTGTCCCACTTCTATCCCATGCACTTGGCTCCTCTATCTGGCTGGAGGGAAGGCAGTGTAGGGGTGGCAACCACGTTACCTTCACTTACCATTACATACCTAGAGCCTAGCTCAGTACCTGGCACATAATAGGTGCTCGACGAATATTACTTTCACTTACCATCGTACGCCTAGAGCCTAGCTCAGTACTGGCACATAGTAGGGGCTCAACAAATATTACTTTCACTTACCATTGTGTGCCTAGAGCCTAGCTCAGTACCTGCAGGTAGTAGGGGATCAACAAATGTTACTTTCATTTACCACTGTTGCCTTCACTTACCATTGTATGGCTAGAGCCTAGCCAAATATTTGGCACATTGTAGGTGCTCAATCCGTATTTGTTGAACTCATGAATGAATCAAATGGAAGCCTTATCCTGGAGTCTGAGTGCTGTAGTGGTGCTCCTATGAGCTGTGGGAACTTAGAACTCCGCTTTGCAACTCACTGGACCCCACTCACCCAACACGGTCACATGACACAGACATACCCTGTTATATAAAACTCAATGTAAAGGCATTCATGGTTATCACTTATAAGGCATCATCTGAAGTCTGCTGTCACCCTGAACCCCCAATGTCCTTGGCAGGCTGTCTCTGTAGTTGTCTTGTCCCTTATTTCTTGTGCTGTTGTGTATGGACAGTCAATGGGCACTGTTATCTTGTCATTTACCACTGCATTTGGAACCATTCCTCCGTGGGTTTTGGGTTTTACTTATCTCGCTATCTTAGATACACTTTGTTCATTTTTTAAAAGGCAGCAGCTTCCAGAAGGACTAGGGAATAGTCTGAACAGCGACAGAGCTGCCTGTTACCCCTCTGACAAGATGGTGTTGTGGGAAAGGGCTCCAGCCCTGGCCTGGGGAGCAGTGGGCTCCATGACCTTGGGCACAGTGACCTTGAATACTTCAGCTCTCTGAGCCTCAACTCTGGAACCCTTTCAGATCTTTAATTCTATGTCAATACACAGGAATGGGCTTTCTAGAAGTGGAATGATTTTTAAGTTGGTGTCTGCTTTTCAGGGAAATTGTAGCTGTTTTCATTTAAAAACTTTTCATTTACGCTCCTGTTCTGAGTGTAAAAACAGCACTAGCTACAAGGAATTCATATTTTGTGATTTATTAGGAGTATTACTATGATATCAGAAAATGGCAGGGTTTTTTTTGTTTGTTTAATATGTTTTTTAAAGGGTTCCTGCATTCTTAAGTGTAATTTTATTATATCCTGGGATGACTTTTTTCCCCCATGAAGAATAGATCTATGTTTTATAACCAGCCTTCACTACCGAGGCTGGTTGTGAGCATATTCTATGGTGTTACATCATTCCCAAAGGGTGTTCTGGCTACAGGAGTGTTATATTTTCCAAGCAGAATGCAGAGACCAAGCAGCAAGGTTCTTTCTAGAAATCAGAGTAAACTGAGATGAGCCATGCCTATGTCCAGCCAGACATTAAGGAGTCTTAGAAAGGAAAGGCCCTTAGGGATATACCAGCCCAACTCTTTTGTCATCTACATTAGGGAAACTGAGGCCCAGCATGGAGAAGTGACTTCCTGCAGGTAAAAGGCCCAGAGTACATACTCCATTTCTGCCCGTTACTCATCACACATCCTTCACTTGGCCCAAACCCTGGTCCCCCAAATGTGAACAGTGTTGTACACAACCAGCCACTGCTGGTGCCTGAGGGTGATACCTGCTTTGTGTTATGATCTGCTTTCAAAGCATCCCATGGTGGAAGGGCTGCTCTAATTCAGCATTCCAATCAGTTCTACTTGCCACAGACCCTTTTTATCACCAGCTTGGCACTAATATCTAGTAGAGAGTTTATTGGCATAATATCTTCATAAAAGAGGCTGGAAGGCTTAGCAAGTTCAAATGATAACATTTTTATCAAGAGTCCCAAAGGATCACCCTTTTCCTTCCCATCACCACCACCAACACCAATAAGGCTTTCTCTAGCACAGGAAGTCAGGGGCAAAAAGCAGAAACAGCACAGGCCAAATCAGCAGGCACATGGTACATTATCAGATCAACCAGCAAGCAACCACCTGGGAGCCATCTTTGTTAAGGGCAAAATAAGGAGCTCACGAGACACTGGAGGATACAAGACTATCTTGATTCTTCTGAAGGAGTGAGGGAGGCTGGATGGGGTAATGGGGAGACTTTCCTTTCTGTTTTCTCAGAAAACATGCAAAGGAAGTCTTCACAAACAACTAAGGTTGCATCAGTATCCCAACCTTCCCTTTTCAAAGATGGCCACCCCTGTTGTCCATTCAGAGGGAGCACGCAGCAGAATCTACTGGGCGTGGAGAGAGAGAGACAGGCAGCAGGAGAGAGATTTAGTTTTCCACAAAGGCTGTTAGTTTTGTTTTGTTTTTTCCTTTATTGACGGGATTTAAAGTGCATATAACTGAAGGCAAAGTCCAAGGCCTAGAGAAAGATATGAGGCCCGAGAGAGAGGCTCAGAGATTCTAAAGGCGGCGGAAGAATACCCACCTAAAAAGGCCACTTGAGCTGCAAAAAGGATGGGACAGGGAGATAGAAAATGGGAAAAAGAGAAAGGGGGTGGGGACGGGGTGGGGGTGGAGGAAGGAGTTTGGGAAGAAGAAATTACTAGTTTAGAAATTCAGCCAAAGATGAGTAGTAGGAGTTAGTTTATATCCCAGCTATGAAAATATGGGCTGACTTCAAGGTAGGAACAGTTGTTTTAGGAAAGGTAAGAAGAATGAGAGCCTCAGGCCAGGACACAGCATTCCCTGGCCCTTCAGGTGATGGTAGAAGTGATGGGGCTTCTCCAAGCCTCTGTCATGGTCTTCCCTGGAGACCCAGTGTGGGTCAAAGGAGACTCTATCCAGCCAGGAGAAGGAAGGGGTTGGGGACCTTGATCTGGGGCCTACCCAGAGCTCCCCAGTGGAAGGCAACTTCCCTTTGCTACTGGACTATGGCTGGGGCCCCACTCACCCACACAGGCTGTGCCATCCTCGTTGGGCTCATAGCCCCGACTGCACCTCTTGTTGGTCCGGCACCTGTAGCTTCCATAGGTGTTGACACATACGGGCTTGTCTCGAGGGCACACGAATGGGAACTGGATGCATTCATTGGTGTCTGCAAGGCGAGGGGAACCACTCACCATGAAGGTGTGGGGCAGCAAGTCCCAGCCCAGGCTCTGCCTGCCCATACACTGCCTGGCTTTGGGAAAGTGTCTTCCTCGCAGAGCTCCAGTTTCCCTGCTTCAATTCCCTTGGCTGGCTCCTCCTGTACTTGGTCTCTACCTGCAGGGGGGCACTCAGGCTTGGTCCTGGGTCCTCTCTTCTATCTACCACAATCGTTTTAGGTGATCTCTTCATACATGGATGATTCCAAAAGTTCTATCTCCAGTCACAGCCTCTCCCTGTAGCTCCAGACTCACGAATACAATAACCCATGACCTACTTGACAGCTCCGCTTGGATGTCTAAGATGCACCTCGTGCTTAATATGTCCAAAATAGAACTCCAGATTCTACCCTGCCCTTAAACCTCTCTTGCCCTCTGTTCTGTCTTCTCTAGCTCAATCAATGCCCCCATCATCTATCAGCTGCTCAAGGAGAAATCAGAGTGACCCCGATTCCTCCGTCTTTCTTGCCCCCTGTGTGATTTCACGGCAGAGCCTGTCCACTCTTCCCCACAGTCCACCAGTCCACCTCTCTCTGTCACCTCTTTCTCATTCCTCTGCCACCACCCAATTTCCTGCCATCGTGACCTCTTGCCTGGATTTCTGCCGCTGCCTCCTCACAGAATACCTGTCTTCCCCTCTTCCCTTCAATTCACTCTGCAATTCAGCAGCTGAAGTGAGCCTTTAAAAACATGAATCACATTATATCACTCTCCAGTTTAGCTTCTAAGGCCCCTAAGAGCAAAATTCAGACTCCCTACAGGGGCCTCATGGACTCTCCATCATCTCCAGGCCATACTGGCCTCCCTCCTTCTCCTTCGACACACGAAGCCTTTGTCTTGCCTCCCGCTTTTCACTCCTGCCTTTCCCTCAGCTCTTTCTGGGCCTGGATCCTTCTCATCCTTCAGGTCTCAGTTCAAAGTCTTTCTCCTGAGGCCCTCCCTGACCACTCTGTCTGGAATAGTCTCCAGGGAGCACCTTGCTCAGAGGGTTCCGAAATCATCTTGTCCAGCTGTGTGGTCTATCTCCCTCTACTAGAATGGATGCCCCTCTTGTGGAGGCTGGGGGTGGGGGTGGCACTTGGCCTACATCCCCAGCTCCCAGCATGACACTGCTGTGTATGAGGCACATAACTGCCTGTTGGGTGATGAAAAGGAAGAGGAGGCTGATCTCAAAGGGTCCTTCCAGCAGGCAGAGAAGACCCTGGAATTTCTATGCACCTGCACTGTGTGTTTGGAGTGGGGCCAGGTGGGGATGTGGAGAGCGTAGGGGAGTCATTTCCTCCTCCAGCCACCCTTGGCACCACTGCTCCTCCGCCTCCCAATCTGTGCTCCTTTGTCCAGACAGTGCCCCCACCAGAACCCTGTCTCCCCTCTCTGTGACTGCCAAACTCCTCCTCATCCCTCAGGGCCGAGGCTTGGACCTCACTTTCTCTAGGGCACCTTTTAGGACCCTCCCTATGCTGGTTTAGGGCCCCTGCTTTGTAGTCTCCAAGCCCTGCCCTCCCCCCTCTGGGCCCTGATCACACTGTGTGGTTGTCAGCTGTTTACTTGTGTGGCTCTCCATTGGCTTTTAGCTCCTAAGAGTGTTATCTGTCTTGTTTACTCCTGTATCTCAGTAGCAAAGGGCTAATGAGCGGCTGCAGAGTAGACTTGGGAAGAATGCTGGATGAGGGTTCAAGGAAGGAGGGATCCTTGGCCTGATCCCTCATTGCTGGTCACTGGGATGGAAAGTGTTGGGGGTGAAGGTCTCCTGGACACTGAACTTCTAGGCTGCCCCTTCCCATTCCAGGCCTTTGGGGACTTTCAGAAGGTTCTTGGATCCTGAAGGAGCTGCCATCCTGGTAGTGCTGCAGCTATCTGCCTGCCCGAGTACTGCACCAGGCTGCAGTCTCCCTTCCACAATGTGACCACACTCCATACGCTATTTTGCCCCAATACCTTGGCAATGGCCACCCTTGCCTGCCAGTCCCCTTGCTTGCTGCTCCACATGGACTTGCTGGCCATGGCATGTGGCTATTCCCCCTGTGCCAGGGTGGTGGTGTGTCTCCTTCCCATGTGCACTTTCTCGGTACTCATGGCAGGGAAACACTGCCAGTTCCCAGAACTGTAGTGATTCAGCCTGTGGGTCATTAATATCACTTCCACCCTGGTGAGTCATGTGGTGGTTGTCTTGGCATCTGGAGTCCCAGGACAAACAACACCCTCCCCTGTCCTCCTTTCTACCCCTTGCTTGCACCCTGGACCTTGCCACGAGTCAGGCGGGCATTCCCCAGGGAGATTCCGGCCTCTGCCCCATGCCCTGGTGACTGAAGGCAACTCACCCATGCAATGGCCATTTTCCTGCTGGGAGAATCCTTGGCCGCACTGCAAGGTGGGCAGAAGCAGAGACATGAGTGAGTTGAGAAGGTCCCATCCCAGGTTCCCTCCTAGTCACGGCCACAGAGCAGCTGTCGCCCTAACCACAGCGTGAGGCATGCTCTGGGCCTGGGGGAGCCCCCTCCCTTATAAGACCCTTCCTCTGCACTGAGAACAGAAGCCTGGCAGGGAGGCCATGAATGGATACAGTTCAGACTCTTGCTCATTTCCCTGTGCAGGGGATCCACGTGCCCGTGATGGGATGCCTAACAGAACCTGTCCCTCCTGTAGCATAGCCTTGAGGCTGAAGTTGGGTCTGTCAGGGCTAAGAGTAACGAGGGCTGGGAGATGCTTTTTGAAGTGTCTGATCACTGCCCACACGCACTTCTCCAAGAACTTCCCCCTCACATGGGTGGGTGCCTGCAGCCGTGCTTGTGTGCTGTCTCTCTGGCCAGGGCTGATGGGCGGACATCCTAGCAGGAGGGAAGACTCAAGGCTTTGCAGCAAGAATTTGAACAAATGGACTCAAAGACTTGAGAGTTCGGAGCTGGTCCTGCCAGGCTGTGGAGGCTCTACCATGCCCATATGGGGGTCTCAGAGACAGCAGCCTGGGGTGGGGCAGGGGACTCAAAATGTAACACACATGACAAAAAATGTCAATCGACCATACTGACAAATGAGGTGGGTGGATGGACATTGTTGGGGAAGAGGGGCCCCTCTCCTCCCAAAGCCAGTGCACTGACAAAGGTCCTTGAGCTCCTATGGCTGAGGCCATAAAGTTGCCAGTTTCCACTCATCCTGAGCTTCCCTGAGTTTTGTGAGTGATCCTCCTTATAAGTTCCCTTTATTTGTGTGAGTTTCGGTGGGTTACTGTTACTCGCCACCAAGTGAACCCCATCAGAGTTGGAATGACGCTGCTGACATGGGTCCAGAGCTGCTCCTCAAAGAGACCCCAGAAGTCCTGCTGCAGGCTCTCAGCACCATCCTAGGGCAACAGGAGGTCTCGTCAGAGACTCGGAAAGAACCAGGAGGGCAGCAGGAGACCTGGGGTCACTTTTTAACTCTGCTCACAACTGACTGTGCAGCCTAGGTGGGCCTTGGTGGGTTTCCTCTCTTAACTTCGGTTTTCTTCCTCTGTAAAACTGGTGCAAAAATGCTTGCCCTGCCAATACAGCAGGGATTCTTTGAGGAGCAGAAAAGATGTGGGTGTGATAGTGTTGTGCAAACTACAAATGGAGGGATCAGTATGAGGCCTTCGCTTTGCCAAGAAGATTTCCATCACTCTGGAGGCTGAGTTTGCAGATTCCTGGGAACCCAGCTTCAGCCCATGGGGTTGTGGGTGGTGCCCGCTTTTCTGGCTATGAGGCCCAGATGCCTTTGCCCACCTCCAGTGGGGCTGGGTTCTGAAGTGTGTCCTCATCCCGGGGGTAGGGGATCTCCAGAACCGAGTTCATCTCCCCGCTGGCCACGTTCCGGCTCACCATCTTGCCATCTGGCCACGTCACCTCCACACTGCTGGCTTCATCCTTCCCTGAGGGATGGAAGGAGAGAGCATCAGCAGCAGAGGAGAGCAGGAGGCTCTCAGAGAAAGCATCAGCATCAACAAATTCATCCATTGAATAAAAGCATGAATTGAGCACTGTTCTAAGTGCTACGGAAATGATGAACGAGACAGATTTGAGGTCCCTCCTCTCTGGAACAAAGCTGTCCAATAGACCTGTCTGTCTGCAAGGACAGAAATGTTCTGCATCTGTGCCGTCCAGTACGGTAGCCACTGGTCACATGTGGCTGTTAAGCACTTGAAGTGGGACTTGTTTGACTGAGGAGGTGAATTTTCAATTTTATTTAACTCTAATTAATTTAAATATAATAGTCACACATGGCTGGTGGCTGTCATGTTGGATAGTGCAGCTCTCGAACTCACGTTCTAGCGGAGAGGCCAAGCATCAGGAGGCTGTACTGGAGGACACAGTAAGGCCTGTGATAAGCAGGTTGTCTTTGGAGTCTGGGTTCAAATCTTGGCTCTACCCCTTACCTGGTATGTTGAAAAGAGCATGGCGGGAAGTGGGTGGGAGACCTGGGGACAAATCCCAGCTTTGCAGCTAACTGGCTTTGTCATCCCAGGAATGCTTCTTGTGTTTCTATTTATTGAGCTCTGCTAAGGGCCAGGCTCTCTCTTGTCACTGGGGATGCCCCTGTTCTGATGGAGTTCCTGCTCCAGTTGGGGAGACAAGCAAACAGGTGAACAAATAAATCACGTCAGATATTGACAAAAGTAGGGCAAGTAGGTAAGGAGGAGCTGGGGGCTGCCAGGGCCTTGTCTAGTCAGGCAGTCAGGGATAGCCTCTTAGGGAGGGGGCATTTGCACTGAGCTCCACATAAAAACTTGGAAAAAGAGCTGGGCATGGTCGCTCATGCCTGGAATCCCAGCTACTCAGGAGGATGAGGCAGAAGGATCGCCTGAGCCCAGGACTTCAAGGCCAGCCTGGGCAACATAGTGAGACCCTGCTTCTGAAAAAAACAAAAAACAACAAAAACAAAAACAAACAAACAACAACTTAAAAAAGATGGAGTGATAAACAGCTGGCAGGTGGCGGACAGGGGAGAAAGACCGTTCTACAAATCTAAGATGCTTACAGAAGATGATGGGAAGCTCAGAGATATTCACAGTGAATCCATTTGCACACACCCCTAAAGCAACGTGCTACATCATTGATGGAAAGCAGGCTGGAAAGATTTGTCAGATGTTTAGGCACCATCAAAGCCAGCTCCAGCTCCCCGCATAAGGAAGCAGGCCCGCCACTGTGGCAAGGTCAGGCTAATGGTGATGCATGGGGGTGGGGAGGAGGCGGGGCTGGGCCTTACCTTCCGGGAGAGGCTGCTCTCAGGTCAGCCCCTGGGAAGGAGAGCTGTGCCCAGCACAGACAGGGGGAGCGCCCAGCACAGACAGAGGGAGCGCACAGCCCACTCTATCACCATCAGGGCTGAGCAGATGTGGGGACACGGGGTCCTGCAGGGGGCCTTGAAATCAACACACTCCCCCAAACACCATTCCTGGGCTAAATAATATATCACCCACATATATGCACTATTATTTTTCCTAACATATGTAGATAGTGTTAGAAAACAAATTGAACTTAAAAATGCTGTTGAATGTATATTCACTTTTGGTCATTGCTATCCACCAGTGAATTTTACAATGATAGCTACTATAGGGTGGACGGTAGTTGGCAAAATATCTTGATGTATAAAGGGGGTTCCCATATTTTAGAAAAGGGTGTTTGGAGGCCACATGCAGACCTGGAGGAGAATCTCTGTGTAGACTTCCGGTAGAGACCACTGTGGGGCATGGAGGCAGGGAGCCAGGTGCTGGGGGGAGGGCCCATGATGAGGGGGTTCCAGAGGGAGTTACGTCTTGCGAGCCACAACCCCCAGCTTCTAGATCCTTCCCATGTTTGATCTCCTTTTGCCCTCCCACCCTGGCCTCCAGGGGAGTCTCACTGGAACGTCCCAGCCTTGCTGCTGCCGTGCTGTGAGTCTGTGAGGGCCAGGGCCAGAGCTATGCTCTGAAGAGTCCATGGAGAAGCAGCCCCTGCCCTCATGGGCACAGCAGGCAGCAGCAACAGAGACGCTCGGAGACAGAGGCTCGTCCTCACACCCTGAGTTCCTCTCCCACACAGTGCAGTTTCTCTTCCCTGTTCCGGGTCCAGCCCTACTGTTCTGGGTTTTGCTTTATCAAGCAAGAAATTATTTCTCATCAGTCCCTCAATCTACAAGAATCCCTTCTGCAGAAGAGGGGTGAAAATGGGACTGGGGGGTGCCGACTACAGATTTTCTTTTCTTTCTTTCTTTCTTTTTTTTTTTGAGATGGTGTCTCACTCTGTCACCCAGGCTGGAGTGCAGTGGTGGGATCTCAGCTCACTGCCACCTTCCCCTCCCAGGTTTAAGTGATTCTCCTGCTTCAGCCTCCTGAGTAGCTGGGATTACAGGCATGTACCACACCGCGCCTGGCTAATTTTTGTATTTTTAGTACAGACGGGGTTTCGCCATGTTGGCCAGGCTGGTCTCAAACTCCTGACCTCAAGTGATCCACCCACCTCAGCTTCTTATAGTGTTGGGATTACAGGTGTGACCCATCACACCCGGCCAGACTTTTTTTTTTTTTTTTTTTTTCTAATTTGAAGTAGAATCTTGAGGCGCGAGAGATTTGGCATTTTCAGGGTGTGCAGTTCCCACATTAAGTGGCACATATAAAAGGTAAATATTTGCCATTAAAAGAAGGAGACAAAGAACAGCAAATGTTTCTTACCTAAGACTGCAGAACAGCTACATGAATATGTTTTCCAGCCTGACTGAAGGGCTACAAAGGACTCAAAAGAGTCGCGGAATATTCATAGACAGTCACAGATCTGCCTGTGGTACTTGCGGCACTTAGTTTTTTTGTTTGTTTGTTTTCTGTTTTTATTTTGAGATGGAGTTTTGCTCTTGTTGCCCAGGCTGGAGTGCAGTGGCAGGATCTCAGTTCACCACAACCTCCCCCTCCCAGGTTCAAGCAATTCTCCTGCCTCAGCCTTCCCAAGTAGCTGGGATTACAGGTGTGCGCCACCATGCCTGGCTAATTTTGTATTTTTAGTAGAGACAGGGTTTCTCCATGTTGGTCAGTCTGGTCTCGAACTCCCGACCTCAGGTGATCTGCTCGCCTCGGCCTCCCAAAGTGCTGGGATTACAGGTGTGAGCCACTACGCCCAACGGGAGTTAGTTTTGAGTTCTGCTTCAGCAGCTTCCTCCAGACCCAGACGTGGTGCAGGGGGCCTGGGGCTATGAGATAAGCAGGCCTCAGAAAGCACAACCAGCAGGACTCCCTCCTCTGCCGCTGTTTTTTGCTAACTTGGGCATCCTCTCTGGGCCTCAGTTTCTTCATCTATAAGATGGGGGTGCTGGCCGACAGCCTTACCACTCCTGGGAAGCAGAGCCTTTCTACCCTTGGAGCAGGAGTCCTGCCCCGCCGTTAATCATTCACCTCAGCGTCCCTGGCACCATCGGCTCTTGGACATGGGGTCTCCCTACAGTTTCCAAAGGGTTTTCCGGTGTTGGTAACAACAGTGAACACTGACAACATGCCCCAAGCTGTACCAACTGCTTTATGATGCTAACGCATTGAAACTTCACATCTCCACGAGGAAGGTGCCGGTGTTACCATTACTGTCTCAGAGACGAGAAGGCGGAGCCACGCAGAGGTGCAGTGAATCGCCCAGTTGCCCAGCAGAGGTCCGACAGATCCCAGAGCCGGCATCTACTGTGCCCCTGTTACACCGCCCACCCTATCCCACGCCCAGCAGCCACCATATACCAAGCTTTGTGCAGGGATTTGGGATTCAACAGAGAATGAGACAGACCCAGGCCCCGTTCTCATGATTCCCATGGGAGCAACGAATACAAGTGATTATATTATAAGCTGGGAAAGTGCCACAACAGCACTGCTACCATGTGGTGAGCGAGTTGGGTCATTTCATCTGGGCATTGCAGGAGGAGTAAGAGTTTGTGAGGCGGAGAAGGCAAGGAAGGAGCATTCCAGGGAAAGGATACAGTGAGGGCAAAGGTACAGCGGCATGAAAGGGTAAGTTGTAGCTGAAGATCAGGAAGAAGTTCAGAGCGGGAAAGAATGTCAGAATGTGTATCAGGTGGGAATGTGTATCAGAGGAGGCCGGGGAGGGGCTTCAGAGCCTCCACACTTACGAGGTGGGTATTTTATCCCCATTCTCCAGATGTCGACATTGAGGCTTGACAAGGTGAAATGACTTGCAGGTGTCTGAGCTAGGACTGGAAACCAGTCTCCTGTCCTTAGGCGCAGCTCATCCCTCTGCCCAGGCAATCTGCATAACATCTTAAGTCTTCCTGGGGCTGCATGGCCGAGGGGGACTGGCTCCCAGACACCGCACACCAGCAGCCTTGAAGCCGGCCAGTCCTGCCAGGCCTGTGTGTAGGGGAGGGCTGAGCAGAGGAGCGCCCCCCATTAACCAGCAGAGACAAGAGGTCAGGAGCAGCAGTGAGTCACCTCTGGCAGCTTTTAAAGGACAGAGGCCAAGGAGGCAGAGAGAATTGCACTTTTCAGAAGAATTACCAACAAAACAGATGGTGGGAATACAGTTGGTAGAATATTTTTGCACTTTAATAAAGCAATTTTTATGAGGGCCACTGAATTTCCCTTCCATAAATGAGCATCAGCCGGCGCGGAGAGGCAGCTCTGAGTCACCTGCAAGCAATTAGCTGAAAGGACGGTGGCATGTGTGGGTGGGGCTGGGGCATCGGCAATGCCGGTTGTGGGGGAGGGGGAAGAGGGGAGGGAGAATGGTGGGGGTGGCTGCCTGAGCCGGTGACTCCCAGTGGAGCTGGCGGAGGCAAATAGATGATTGGTGTTGTTTTTATTTTCTGGGTTTGGGAGTGAGCTGCCTCGGCCCGCTACCAGTTGGGAAGTGGAGGGTGGGCATGTGGGGCTCGGGGGTGGGTTCCGAGCAACCAGGTTGGTGGTGG